AATATTCTGGCAGACCATAATAGTTGTCCTGGTCCCTCGAATTTTGGAGCGAAACTTCCCACGTGTCCTTCAGACATGAAACAAACACGGACTCTGGTAGCAAGATTCCACGGTGTTTTTGACACGTGATTTAAGGTAAGTATTGGGCATGGGGAAGCGTGATGATGGATGGTCACATGGGAGTCAGTATTTTTACAAACTGAAAGTTGAAACTCTGGAAGAAGTTTGGTGATCATTGGTCACTGTAACTTGTAAGTGGTATGGTAACATAATATCAGTGATGGGATCTGTCATTTCTCAGGTTTTGAATTCTTGGGATAGATTTCAGGACCAAATTTGAAATCAATGCAATACTTCTCAATATTTTTGTTTTTACGTTTACAATCTCCTTTTTTCATAAAAATGTAATGTTCAATCAGATGACCTTTTATCCACATAAAAAAAACTGCATAGGTTTACACCAACCCTTAGGGATTTTTGAATAATGTATTACTTTAAATAGTAGGTCAAGGGACAGATTGGCTTATTAGCCAAAGATGACTTTCATCAAGGAGGTTAAAGTTTGCTTTGATGGTGAACTCTGGGACTTTCTTTGCAATCTCAGCACAGTGTTGCTAGTGATGCAAGGCTCATGCAATATTGGGCCTGCAATATCACAAATCCCCTACTCAGTAGATCTCTCCATTTAACAATCTGAAGGGATTTCAGGATCTCTAATAGTTTCTAATGACTGAATAGTTTCTAAGAATGATAGTTGGATGATTGAACTCTGTGTCAAGGTGACATGAAGGTAACAACTGTCAATTTGTGTTTTCACCTATATATCCAATATTATCCATACAGTCAGTATACTTCACCGGAGTTACTCCTTACATCTGTGACAATGGAAATGCAACAAGCTGTAGAAAAGGACAATGTAACTATTGAAGAAGGAGATGGTGAGAAGGGTGTTCAAATTGTGCTATCTGCAGAAGGACAGAAAATGCACCAGTTTACAATCAGGACCCTCAGTAGCCTTGTGGATGGAGCATCAGGGACCCAAGAACAAACAGGATTTGAATGTTTAGATCCCCAGTTCACGCAGAGTTCACTACCAGCTGCCAGCAGCTCAGTACCAGAGCTTGGAGCTACGTCTGTTTGACCACCACCC